TTCCAATTAAAATTCTAATGAATCTTAATCAAATTTTAGATCAAATTATAATCAAATTATAATTTAAATCCTAATGGATCTTAATAAAATCTTAAATCAAATCCTAATGAAATCCTAATGAAATCTTATATCCTAACCAAATCCTAGACCGGATTCCAATAAAATTCTAAATCCTAAATCCTAGCTTTAAACCAAATTCTAATCAAATTCTAAATTCTAAACAGATCCTAATAAAATTCTAATAAAATTCTAATTAAATCCAAATTAATTATTATAGCTTTTTGAAACCTCAATAAATATTAATTGAATCATTGATCTTAACTAAAATTTCATCCAAACTTCAATCATCAAGAAATTATCAAACATACAAAATTTGAGAAGAATTGGACTTACTAATTCCAAAAAAAGCTCTTAAAACCTCTCAATTGTTAGCCACCTTCCTTCTCCAATTTGAATGTTTATCTTTCAATAAAGAATTTTCTTTTTTGAATTCTTCAATTACTCCAAATATTGATTTTTTTAAAGGTATTTTAGGCTAAATTGCTCTCACAAATCTTTACTTCAATCAAATTAGTAGATATTGCTAGATCGTGAAATCCTTCATTGTTCTTAAATTTCAATTATTTCAAATCATAACCTACAAAAATTCTCATACTCTTCAATTTAACTGCTTGATTGATCTCAAATTTTTCATACATTTATAACAAGTTGTTAAATTTTTATTTTTATATATACTATGAAACTCAAAAAATCTTCAAATTTATAAACTTATTTTTATCTTTTAAAATCTAAACACACTAGATACACATTAATTTTGAAAATCCTTCAAAATCTTAATATTAGTCCAAATGACAGGAAATCAACTCTCAAAAATCTCTTCACAAGTTTCTCCCTAATTCCACTCTTTAATTGATAAAAGAATCTTATAATTGTTATAAGTGTGTGATTTTGTATCTCACGGTGTGATTTTGATTTAGGTTGACAATTGGTCCTCCCTAATTATCAATTTTTGATAATTTGAAGTAATTTTTACTTAAATCTATTGTTAACTTTTTTCTAAAGATGCCTATATTATTTGCTTATCTCATTTACTTTGATTTGAGGCATTTATGCTCCTACAAAGTAAATAAAAAATATTTTTTTAAAAGGCAACATTAAGACTAAATTTTTTATTACATTCCTATCATTTATTTTAATTTTTTTACTACATATGTTTACTAAGCTCTTCTATAATAACATCCATATTTTTATTTTTCACCATATAGTCATGTTACCCCACAACAATGTTTTTGTGTTGTGGTTTGGCTACCATATGAAAATAATGCACATATATATCTTATATATAAATTTACTATTCAATGTAGTGTGAGCCATGCTATTAAATTTTAGTTGATTACAAAATATAATTAGATTACTATTTTGAAGTGGTTAGTTTAAAAGGCTATTATTTAGATTGATTTTATATTGATAATAGTTTTTATATATTTAGAGCCACCTTTATTAGACATTGGTGAATCTTGAAATCTTATTTGTTTCTTTTATTTGGTATTTAAGATACATACTATGTAAAATTTATTAAAAAAAATTGATTAGAGAAAAAATTTTGTATAAAAAAGAGTAGTTATGCCAGTTATATAGATGAATAGAGATAGATGATAAAAATTTCCATTCTTATTGGCCAAAATTCATACCCAATAGACTTCAAGGAGGTTGTCCAAGGCCTTATTAGGAATTAGGTTTATTCTTTTGGAGGCATTTGAATTTAAGAAGCTATTATTAAGATGTTTGGAACTTTGGCTATGGTTTTGGTAAAAGTTTTGAGTTATTTGAAGTTTTTATGAAAAAGATGTAGGCACTCAAAGTTAAGGTATTGATTTTGTACCTACTGTCATTCTTTTGGATATAATGCATGCAGATGGGAAGCAATGAAGAATTGGAAAGTGGAGTTAGAGAGAAAACTTTCTTAACTATAATTTTTATATAATATTTTATGAACTCTAAGGTGGGATGAATGAAATATAGGAAGTTGAAGTCAACACTTGCAATCTAAAGGCAATAGTGACCTGATTTACTAATGGTTGTGTTTTGAAGTATAACTTGAGTAATTTGCTAAGATTTTGGCTCAAAATATTTTATAGTGTGTATTATCATGTTGATAAACTTTATACACAAATTTTGTGGCATTTGGATTTTGGATGTTTGAGATATGAAGAAAATAATATTCAAGTGCTTGTAAATTAGGATTTAGAGCACTTGCTAGGATTTCTAAGATGCCAAACGATCTATAGTAGATTTATTGTTCATTTTTTTTGTGGTAAAGCTTAAAGATAAAGTGTAAATTATCTAGAAATTTAAAAAATACTGAATAGTTGAATCAAGAAATATGAATTTCTAAAATTTAGAGAAGAAAAATCTTTTGTCGGAGAAAAATATTTTATTAGGATTTTGTTAAAATTTGAGCATTTTATACAAAGTAAAGGAGATTTTGGGAGCCAAGTCTTTATTTATATGTGAAAGATGGAGATATGGAGCTATGACAAAATTATGACATAAAGATGAATTTTTGAAAGGAGATTTTAGATTTTTTTTGAATTTATTAGAAATCTAACTTATTAGAAAATAATTAGTTATGATCTGGTATAGCAAAGAATGTTAGGATATTTCTAGATGCTTTAAAAAGCCTTATATACAAAGCTTATTAAATATAAAAAGAGTTTTATTAGTAAAATACTTTTTGATATTATTATATTTATTTGTCATTTATAATAAAGATATATCATTTATTGGAACTTGGCCAATAAGTTAAAGTTAAACTTTTTACAACCAAATACCCAGTATATTTCTAAATAGAAAATCACGCCATACGACATTGTGGGTGGCACATGGCATATTTGACTCTACTTCTTTTAACTCTTTCTTCAATAGATTGGATTTGTCTATGTTATAAGAGTCTTCTAGTCATATCTCATCTATTGATAAGAAAAAAAGATTTCTTCTACCATTTTTGTCACACTTTTTGGTAGTCTAGTTGCTACAATGCCAGCTTGGATGAGTTCAATTTGGCAACAACATCATTGTAGCATTCATCTTCATCTATGTATGTTTTATAGTCCTAATTGACTAGAAGGACTCTTACTTAGCTAAGAGAGGCATTTGAGAGTGTATTGGTTGTACATTTGTATTTGGTTTAGATTACATACTTTGTGATTAGTTTGTAGCACTTGATGTATTGAGTATAACAATCTTTGTTTATATGATAATATTTCTAAAAATAAAAGAAATTAAGCTATAAAAGTTATAATAAAAAAATATCTTTTATTAAAAAAATTCTTAAAATTGAGCTTGCTTTAGCAAAAATACAAGATTGGCATTGAATATAAAAATGCATAATATGTATAATATAATATGATACTATATTGTACATATTATATTGTACAATGAAGTTTGATATTTCTTTAATGATAATCTTGTACATATTGTATTGTACAATAAAATAAAATAAAGTTTGATTTTTTTCAATTGTAATTAATACTAAATAAATAAAATAAAATAATATGACTTAGTTTTAATTTTAAATAAAATAAAAATTAATGGTATTATATTGTATAATATTTAAATAAACATGTTTCAAATTATTTAATTATTCATATAATATAATTTTTTATATATATTACATACATAGCTCGCTTATAATATATTAAAATTTGGTATATTGTTAAACCTAGCTTCTATTATATTATATGAGTTTAATTTATAAAAAAAGGTGTCTTGTAATATTACTTTATTCTTTAAAAATAGATTTTAAAAGTATTAAAAAATAATTAGTTTATCAAAACTATTAACTCTATTTGGTAAAGATAATTTTTATATATTTTTCTTTTATAAAGATATATTTAAAGAAAATAATAAGAAAGACATCTAATAATGATAACTATGGTATATCAAACTCAGATGATAGTATTTAAAAAAATTAAGTTTTTTAAAATTTTGAATTTTAAATTCTAAATTGCTACAAAACATTTTATTTTTAATGTCCAATTAAAATTCGTAAATCCTTTAAGTTTTTAAATACATTAGAAAAAAAGTTTTATAAGTAACATAATTTTATAAAAGATTATATAATTGTTAAATGTTATTAAATTAAAACAAAGGGAGGTAAAAAAATTATATATAGTTTGGAATTGTTTCTAAGGATAAAATTAGTCTAAATTAACTCTCTTAATATTATAAAAGTATTTTAATAAAAAAAATTATTCAATATTTATTAAAGTTATTATTAAGAAAAAATAATATATCTAATATATTTATAATTATACAATATTTTTTCTTAGATATAGATTGTAATATTAGTTAGTAACATCATGATTTTAAGAACCTTAAATGATTACATAGTCTTTCCAAAATATTCATATAATTAAAAATTTTCAAAAAAAGACTTAAAATTATCATTTTTGATTCAAAAATAATATTTTGATATAATTTTAAAATAGAAAATCATTGTTAATTATAATCATTGTTCAAAAATAACAAAAATATCACAATTTTCCTTCATTATATAAATTTATATTGCAATTTAACAAGTTGCTTGTTTTTAAAACACAACAAATCCTTTTTCTCTTTGAAATCAATTTCAATTCTTTAAAACAATATCTCACTTTCAACAATCCTTCAAGAATCTAATTAAATTTGTTATATCTATCTAATAACAATTAGACATGATGATTGCCAACCATACAACCTTGACCTTTAACTGGCAAGAAAAAATCCTACATAGATTAGTATCCAAATTGTGACAATTAAAACATCAATTGTGAAATCACTAACATTTCCTCAGTATTTCCATATATATATATATATATATATATACTAAGTCGGAATTGCGAAGTGCAGCAAACGAGTGGAGCAAACGAGAGGAGCAAACGAGTGGAGATTCACAAACACGAGTTAATATGAGTTGCTGTGAATCGATGGGACTAGATTTGAGGATCCGGGGCATCCACAATCCGGGACTTCCAGGGGGCTCCGCAGTGTGTAGAATTGCGGTGTTTGGGCGCTACCGATGCGGAGTAGCAGCAGATTCAGTTGGCAAGCAAGCAAGGAAGGAAGGAAGAATGGAATCTAGGGGATTCCTGAGTAGCCAGCCAGCCAGCCAGCCATCCATTGTGCCCACTCCCTTCACCGCCGCCACTCCCTGTGTCTGCATCCTCTCCTTTTGCAGAGAGGGAGATTGCACCATTCTGATCCACTGACGTGCATTCCTGGTGTGAAGAAGCTGGTCAAGTGGTGCGTTTCGACGCGGAGGGTGCTGGTAGATTCCAACAGCCATGTTATTAATATCCCATGTTTATTGTATTTTATGAAACATTCCATTTAGGTTCTACCGTTTAATTCTAGCTGGCGTTCGAATGCCCTAGACAGCTGCCGTTGGGCGAAAGGTAAAGCGGTGAACTTCGTAAATTTGACCATAACACATGGTTGCATTACACCGTGAACTTCCCCGATCTAGCTGGGCCTCGTGTTTCGATCTCAACTCGTGGAATTTATAATTTTTCCAGGCTTTTAGCACTGGTGTTGAGGGAAGGGTGGTAATGAGTGTGCTGCTTGCTCGTCCGGATTGTTGAGATTGTAGGTGCGCGTGAAGTTGAATTCGTCAGTGCGATGCTTTGAGGCTGGACCCTACACGGATTTGTGAACTAGATGAGAAGGTGTGCTAGATCTTTTTGTACTTGTGATTAATGTAGCAACCCCAGAGATTGGATTGTTGAGACGCGACGTATGCAGGATGGAGCCCCCTACCTAAACTGCCTATCTCCTCCGGACAAAGGTCATCTTTGTCGCATTTACTGGTTCGCCATTTACAACGTAGAAGTAGGTGAAGAGCCTCTGAGGAGGAAAGGTCTGTGGAGACTGTCCACCATGTCATCAATCTGGAAATGGATCGTTGTGACAGCCATCTTGTGCCTCGTACAAGAAGCCTCGTGTACATACCAATGCGGCAAGGGGATCACACCCAAGATCTACTCCGAGTGTAAGATGCTTCCCTCTCTAGGCGCCTCGTTTGCTTGGACCTTCAACAGATCCGCCTACTCCATGGACTTTGCTTTCACAGGTACACATTCTTTGCGAGGTTCTTGAGGAAGGCCGTTCTGTTAGCTCAGGTATATATCGTTTTCCGGTAACGTCCCGGGTATTTGCTATTGCAGAGGACCTCGAAGATCCGTCTGGTTGGGTGGCGTGGGGAATCAACCCAGATGGCGCGCAAATGGTGGGAACCCAAGCACTGGCGGCGTTTTCCAATACGTCGGGGGTGTACACAATGAGAACTTACAATGTCACTGGGCCAGTGAAGAACAATGAAAGACTCTTGGTTCCGGGTACGGTATCAGTCAACTATTCCAACTACTCTGTTGTTGTGGTGCAAACCACCGTGACAATTGCCGGCACTGTGCTCTTGAAATCAGGACAGTCAACTTCGCTCAACTTGGTTTGGAACCGAGGTCCTCAAGTTCAGACCACCACTTCCGCCCTCATGAGCCACTCGGTTAGCAACAACGAGAACCTGATGAGCACTTTGAGGTTTGATGTGGGCACCGGCGAGTCCATGGGTGGAGGCGAAATCCCTAACAAACGGCTCAAAGATGTAAGTTTAACTCGCTCGTTTCAACGTTCGTGTTAGATATATTGTAAGTATCTTCTGGGTTTGGTAGTAAGATCGACGAGTTGAATCGGGGACCATTCCTGAGTGGGCGGGGCTGGTAAATTTTCACAGATTCATGGCATCATCAACGCGATTTCTTGGGGGATTTTGCTTCCGATTGGACTCTTGGCAGCTCGCTATCTGCGCCCTTTCAATTTTGCAGACCCCGCCTGGTTTTACATCCACGCATTCTGTCAAATTACTGGTTACGCTGGCGGCACGGCGGGCTGGATTTTGGGGTTGCGCCTTCAGAAATTAGCCAATCCGATTAAGTACTATCACCGTAACCTTGGTATTGCAGTCTGGGCTCTGGCCACTTTGCAGGTATTCATCTGCCCAGTTTCCGATCTCTTGGCAATTGCTTGTCTTAAAATTCTGTGTCGCCTACAGCGTGGCGATTGGAAAGTTATTGATTTGAAACATGCTCATGTCCCATTGCTGGAGATATCCTTATGAAGATGGACTAACTTCGATTATTTGCATGCATTATGGTATTTCAACCGGGCTTGGATGCTAAATTTTCAATTAAATCTCTGGTTGGGGTTCTTGATCTTCATGATCCGGTTCGTGCAGATATTGGCTGCAACACTGTTGAGACCCAAGCCAAAAACCAAGGGACGGCCGTTATGGAACGTGATTCATCACACCCTTGGATTTTTGATCGTCATCCTGGGCGTCGTCAACATTTTCGAAGGCATCGATCTGTTGGGCGTAGAGAACTGGAAACGCGTGTACATCACGATTCTTATCTGCATAGGCCTCGTTGCAGTTGTGCTAGAGCTTATCAACTGGTTTTTCTGGATGCAAAAGAAGGAGAGGAGGCATAAACACAGTGTGCTTGTTGGAGATACATAATGATGATCGTCAGTGCACGTCGTATCCTGTTTTGAGAATGGCTAATCCTGAGGTTTAATCTGCAACTGGCCTGTCGTGATGAACATCAATTGGTGGCTTGAAAGCTGAAGCATCCTTTCAAGGACATGTACAAGAGCTCGATCGTCGAGGAAGAGGAGGATCCAGGTAGAGGGTTAACTGAGAGCGTAGGCTTCAAGAGCTTTTTCCTTTGACAGAACAGGAAAAAATTCATTTTCTCGCCATTTTCCTAGCCACAGTTTCTGTTTTCAGTAGATGCACTTACAATTCCCGTTTCCCTACGGCTGAAGCGATTACACCTTCCAACCTTGTCTTGAGAAGGCATTTTTCAGTCTCTGGGGGCTCAATCCTTCGAGGCGACTACAGCGTTTGGAAGGGGTTCAACACAATTGAATAAGAGCTGTTTGATACGGAATTTTGCTGTTTGGTTGAGCCCACTTATAGCAGAGCTTCAGCTTCAATCTATTAAGGACATGAATGGCAGTAGCCCACCATCAGTTTAGAAAAATGTGGACAATACCATTTGACTAAGTAAGTAATCTGCACACCATTTGATCAGTTCCTGCTTACCGTTCCTCACTGTTCTGGAAAGATATGCTTGATTGAGCATCACTTTCTGATGATACAAGCTTCCAATGTAATTTGTATTTCTAATAAGAAATGGAACCTGCATGATGGATTTATGTGCTACCTCGGCATCTTTGAAGGTCAGGATTTTTGCATTTGACTGTTGCCACTCCTCGTTCATGTTGTATCCGAGAATCCTAAGCACCCGTAACTTATATATTAATTTACTCATTAGACATCTACACCGTGTGTCTTAGATCTTATGTTATTCACATTTTCAATCCAAATATCTCATATTATTGTTAGCTTATTAAATATTTTAAATAACGAGCAATTGGGAATCTTAAAGTCCGCTATATCTGTTGAATGTTGAAGATAATACTCATCCTAAGTTGAAGATAATGAATTTTTGTGGTTTTAAGTATAAATCATGGACTTTATCTGTATCACATAGCAAATATTTGATATATTCAAAAAAAGACGAATTTGAGGTTAATGTTTTCAACAAAAAAACGGTTTTTTATGCGAAGTGTTGAACCAGGTTTTGTGTAAAATTAATGAAGAGTTAACTGAAAATTGACATTGAACCAACGTATGAATTTCATTTATGATTTGAAAACTGATTGTATCACCAAAAAAACAAAAAAAAACAAAAAAATAAATATATGTATATATATATATATAGATACATATTACATTATATTGTGCGTTTTTGTTACATGGTTTATATATGCTTGTACATCAATTGCAGATTTTTATGTGGTCTTTTTAAGATCTATTTAACTAGGGTTATTGCATTTTCAAAGCATGAAATAATTCCAGTGAATAAAGTTATTTAATTATTATTGATTGAACTGATTACTTCTAAATCACAAACTTTATAAATTATTTATGCTCGAAAATCAGAATGTATGAAATAATAGATATGATATGAAGAATCATGTATGTGTTTAGATATTAAATTTTCATCACTTTTTACTTTTTATTTTTTTTAAATTGTAAATGTACTATGATTGGTGTGATAGATTAAATCTATTAAATGAATAAAAATATTTTTATATCTAAAACAACAGTATTAAATATTGAAACTTTGCTGCATTTTTGTGAACTGGATGTTTAAACCAGCTGTTTATTAATATACAGTATGTTGTTATTATTGTTTTTAACAAAACAATTTAGTGCTTCATGTGTTATAGTTGAAAAATTAAAGATGTCAGTAGTAAGTATTCAATTGAATTTTTACTTGAAAATGATTCATTAAAAACATCAAACATCTGCAAAATAGATGTATAAATAGTCAGTTCAAAGTTTAAAATATTTATCTGAACATGTTTTATTTATAAATTATGCCTTTTTTCTTTTTCTTTTTTCCCCACACAGTGTACCAATTAATCATGTGTTCACTTAACAGATGCAAAAAGACTCCAAATTTCAAGAAATTGTCCTTTAAGAGTATTACATTGGAGATGAAATGTGAAATTTTTTCTTAAAATTTTCTATCCTTTAACATAAATATTTATTTATTTAATAATAATGAAAACTTGAATTACTAATAAAAAAATTAAGACGATTTGTTACAATGGCCAGGTTTTGCAACAAATTATCTTAATTTTTTATGCATTTATTCCTATCAAAAACCCTTGTCGTTGGGCAGGGAAAAGCTGAAAAAAGATCAGCAATATATATAATAAATTGGAGGTCCTTTTCCAAGTTATGCAGGGCTTTCTTCTAATTAATTATTTCTCTGTCTCTTTGTCTTATACCTAAGCTTTCTTATTATATAGATACAATTTGAACATAATTGCAAATCCACTATTTGTTCAGTCTGCTGTGGCAAAAGATTGTTACTACCTTAATGCCCGGATTCAAGCCTCACAATCGGGTATTTAAATATACGGCTCAACTTGTTGTAGGGTTTCAAACTTATGGTGGTTCACGAGAATGTGCTCGCAAGGTTTCGTCAGCTATGGCGGATGATGGAAGTCCTCAAGTGCACAAGTCTTGCCGAGCATTGGCTCTGAGTCTGGTCAAATGCCTCGATGAGTCTGCTTGCATTAAGGTCCTCCAGAATTTCGTTTACTTTTTTGAAAATTTGGAATAGATTGTGAGATAATTTTGGGATTCTGGATGTGGACAGTTTAGGGTTGGGCGTGGGCTTAGGTTGTAGTTGGTGACAGTAGAGTTAGGAGATGTTTTAGAAGAATTTATTCTCGCTCTCTCGAATAACAGACTTCGATTGTCTTCCACACGTAATCAAGGCCCTCGTCGGATCTCATGTGGGAGAGAAATTGGTATCTATGAATTTGCTTAGAGTGTGCTTTCGCTGTCGCGGTGTAATTTATGGGAGATAGTTTGATGAAGTTCGATGAGGAATATTGTTGTGGATTATTATCATTGATGCTTTAAACCAACGTTGAGACATTGGGAGTGGTTATTATTTTAATTTTTGAGGGTGCATTGCCAACTTCTTTCACAGTAAATTGTAGAATTTTTTTACGTTTCTCGTTTTCATGTTTTTCTTATTGTTTCATGGTGAATCATTTTTGACCTGGACGTGATATGCTTATGATTTTTGAAGTGATGTTCCTTTGCTCAGGAAAACAAACGGTCTTACAAGGATTGTGCATTAGATAAAAACTTGACGGCATCGTCTACGTGTAAAGACATTCGCGACAACTACATGAAATGCAAACACGAGCAGGTAAGGACTAAGCATCTAGGCCACGAAACATAGTATATTGGCATTCGGTGGTCGATGTATGCGATGTCGCAGATTATCTTTTGCCATGTTTTAACGAAGGAAAGTTGTTGTAATGCTTAGGGATTTGCAATGACAAGTTTTGTTCATGAATTCTTGATTGAAGCATTAAAATTTGTGGGGATCGTTGACATCTGCATCTTACAGGTGTAGAATCGGAGTCAAAAGATCCAATTTTTTTAGCCAGTAGAGCACGTGGGAAGGATATGATGCAATGTGTAACCATGTAGAGTTTTCATTATTTAGTTGCCAGTCACTCGATGCAATTGCCGAATTTTGACAAGATTTATAGCTACTACAAAATTATGGTGTCTGACATGGTTCGATCACCAGGAAACTCTCGTATATTCTAATCCTGAAATTTGTATTTTGTAGGTTGGCATTGTCGTACGAGAGCGGCTCCTTAACAATCCTGAATTATTTAGGTTTGTGTAGTTCAAAGTACTCAGTTTTGTGCTTTGCGTGGTCGTGATCTCGGTGGAATTTTTGGCATGGCATTGGTTCATTTACTTTCTGAGACATTTAATTGCTACGTTTTTGTTGACAATCGTCCATGCCTGGTGTTTCCCCAACGCAATTGTTGTAAGTGCAAATAAGTTCGCACTTTTGATGAATTTGATCTCACTTTTTTTGAACTATTGAACCCTTGAGAAACCCGGAATCAATTGTTTAATGTGTAGTTAAGCAGTTAGGATCTGGCGTTATATTCGCGAGGCCTTGCTAATTCAATGATCAAGGAGGGCAAGGTTGCTTGATTTAAGTATGTGGGGTCCAAGTCTTTCAGCATTTGAAAGGATGAATACACCCTACAAGTGCAAGTTCACTGTTGCTTGGTTCCTGTCGAAATAAACGAGCGTTTTCTTTAAGCTAGTCAACTCTTAATACGCGAAGAACTTACCGCACTTATGTAGATCCTGCAAGGTATGTCCATGTACTTGCTTTCAGTACAGTAAATCAGCAATTTAGTACCACAGAACTTGGAGTTCGAAAGGAACCCAGAAGCATGGGAAACGGATGCTAGCTTTTGGGGTCCTTTCAAACTTCAGTTCAATCTTCCTAACCACTGTTGCGGAGCATCAGACCTTGTGCAGGTATCATTTCGTACATTTCATCCTGTTCGCCTCGAGTTTTTCAGTCTGGAATCTTAACATAAGACACAGATATCGCAGATGGGTTATTGTTTTCGTCGTGTAACCCACAAGAGGATCCATGTCCGCCCAATATTTGGGCATTGCACATCTGTCTAAATATTCCTTAAATACATAAATTCTTATATATGTATACATATGTATATATCTATATATCTATGTACTTGGTCAGCTTTGGCACTTCAGTGGATTCAAAAGCAAACCACCTTCCCTTACCACCTTCCCTTTGCCTCTAGCAAGTTTCCTAGGGCTATTCTTGATAGAAAAAAAACTCACCTTTTGGCCTCATTTCCTATTTGAAGTTCTAAGCCTCATTTAGTCCCTCACTTCCAGTTATTGTAGATGAAGATTACAATTTAACATCAGTGAATAAGGGTTTTATAGATAGTCTTTTTGGTTTATTTTGTTTTTTTTTGTTTATTGCTTCTTTTTTTCTTTTTTTTTCTTTCCTATTTATTTTAAATTCTTTAATATCTTGTTGCTTCATCTTCTTTACTTCTCATACTTATCTCCTTTTTCTTACCTAGCTAAATTCTCAATCGTCTATCTTTCTAGTAATTTATATCTCTCTATCAAATTTAAGTAGATGTATGTAAATACATATTGTATTGTATAACATTTAAGTGCCAACCTCTACTGATGGATACAAAAAAAAAATCTAAATAATAAATAATAAACATGCACATGCAAAAAGTAAAGGTTTGTAGCTTGATTCCAAACAAAATGTTGATCTTTAATGATGCCAAAGATAATAGTAGTGCCATTCAAAAGTCCCATAGTAAGCTTTCTCATTAAATGTCTTAGTGTGAATCCCACATCACATCAAGGCTTTATGCATATAATGTAAAGTAAAGTGGATAAGCTATGAAAATAAGAAACTATGTAGAGGATGCTTTCATTTTATTGACTATGACAAATAGATATGCATTATTCTTTTTAATTGCCGATGATTTACTTGATCATTTAAAATGTCACTAATATTATGCCATATAGGTCTAATAATTTAAGAAAATGTAATTTTAAGTATTGAATGTGGTTCCAAGTTGGTCTAAAACCACTGAAGATGGAAAGCACAAGAATTCAATATTATAATATCCACAAGAAAGATGAAGAGCTTGACAAATATAATATTCATCAATGACAAACTTCTTTTATAAATCACCTAATGGAAGTACATTGTTGAAAATGTAGCTTATATAAGAAGACCAATATATTAACCACCATTGTATAAATTGTATCAACTTCCAAAAGAGACTTTATCATGAATCATCTAAGCCTTGAGTTATTCTAGCTTGTAAATAACATTGATAGGACTATCTAACAATAAACAAATTTGCATACTCCAATATCTTAAAATCTTTATTATTAATAAGGATAATTTATAAGGAAGTTGCTTAAAGCATCTATAAATAATATAAGAAGAAAATAGCTCTAGATATAAGACTAACAATCTATTAATGTGATGTTGTGATATACATATGGATACAAATTCATTATCTTTACAAATGTACCCCTCGACTTCAAGGCAAATCTTTAAAATAAATTCCAAAGTAGTAATAATATCAATAAATATTTTTAGAAGGATGATACCATCTTTTAATAGATTCCAATGAATAAATTATACAAAAAGTAATAAAATGAGATTAATAAGTGAAGTCTGAAGGTTCAAAAAAACCACAATGTCATGACACCTAAATAATTCATTAGAAGAATTCTACATTAGAAATGGATTATTAGAGTATTGTAAAAAATAATTTAAAGAATCTATAATTGATTGATTTATCAAAAAAAATTAAATTAAATTTATTTTTAATAAAATTGGTCCAAAAAATAAATCTAATATAAAAGTAGTCCAATCAAATACAATCTCTACTACCATAGGTATAATATTTTTTATAAATTCCACAAGAATAAATTCTTTTCTACCATTCTAAATAAACCATCTTGGTCTAATTTATTCTTCATTTGTCTAATTTTTTAGACCAAAATCAATTGAATAAAGGATTTAATAAACAATCAAAAGATTATAGTTGGTTGTAGTAACTACATACTTACGGAACAAGTGTAAGTAAAATAATCCAAAATCAACATAAAATTTCAACTATAGTAGATTTTTGGTTTAAATCATAGCATAATTTTTACTTATAAGTAATACAATAATTATAAATGGATAAGGCTTAAGAATAAAGGTCTCTAAATCTAACTTCTATACAAGTTGTTTGCTAACTATAAGTAGGTGGATACTTTAATGTCAATTTATAGTATAATATTGGTGGTGTTATTATTCATGTTGCCAACAACTAAGATATCATTGCCATTGAGCAATTGAACCATTATCAATTACAAATATTATAGCTCATATTTAGACTTAGATAAAATATAAGATAAATAAGCTTTTATTTCAACTAATGAATTGAATTTAATATGAATCATTCATGACAAAGGTTGAAATATCTTGAATAGCTAATTTGGCCAAATTTTGTAGATTCTCAATTTTAAAAGGCTCTACCATTGCTTAAAGAACCTCTAGAAATGACATGTCTATTTTCTCTTCTAATATCTTATCAGTTAAATAAAAAAAACTTTTAAAGGCTGATAATTTGGTGATACTACATCAACTCTATAAAATAGTGGCAATTATAAAATTTTGTGAGCTTAAGCCAATCAAATATTTAAAAATAGTCTCTTCAATATATCTACACAAAAAAAGGAAGAAATCAGCTAGCAAAGTAATATTAGCCAGGAAAAATGATGATGGCAATCAAGCTTGACTAATAAGATCAATTACACAACTTTGGCAATCTCATATATTATATTAAATCACTTATAATAGGTGATACATACTTGATTGCAATCTAAGCATATATAGCTTCTATAACTACTATATGTCTTGTCACTCTCTACATATATAAATTTAAATACAAAAAAAGCCAAGCTTTTTCTTTATAAAGATTAACATTCAACAACTTGAACTAATAATACAAATGTCACAAATCTCTTCTTTAATACTACCATCTTAGCTTCTATAATCTATTTTTTCAAAAAAAGGCCTCAATTTTAAAATGAAGCTTAAAATAATGCTTATCATTATTGTTGAACTTGTCACAAAGACTATATTTTGATTGTTTCTTCTTCTTCTTCTTCTTCTTCTTCTTCTTCTTCTCAATGTTGTTGTTGTTGTTGTTGTTATTATTTTTTTAAAGACTAACAACATAAATGGTCATTCTTTTTGTAGTTAAGTTCACTATAAGTCCAAAAGACCACTCTAATTTTATAATTAATGTTAGTAAAGTTACATTAAGCAAGAAAAATCTTCTTGAGTAAAGAAGCTTTAGTCATCCAAGGCATTATATTTCTAGTATCATATTAACAAAGAGTCTTATCTTACTTTTCTACTAAAATAAGGGCTTAAGTTAAAGTAGCTTTGTTATTATAATTAAGAATGATCTTTGATATATCCATCTCTTAAAGTCATTTATCTATGTTGGATAAACTAATCTTAGTTTCTTACACTTTTAATTTATCTATGTTGAATTTATAACTTCTAATTAGAGAAAGAAATGCCTTTTGCACAACTTGAAAACCAATCTTGTATCATGTCTCAAGAATCCTCTTCCATTTCATTAAGAGAATTTATGTGCCAAATAAAAACCTCATTAGAGGGCTCCAACATTGAATCAAATTGAAAATCTTTAATTTTGTTCTACCAATATGTTAACACATATTACAAGCTTACTTTTAAAATATAAAATTAAAAATATTAATTAATAGTACAAATTATAAGTCATTATTATAAACAATAGTAGTAGATAAATATATTATATTAATAACATGTATTTTTGTAATAACTACAAAAGCTTAGGTGTTTGGATATCAATTTCGGGTCATTAGAAGGAATACAAGCACAACCTACTTTGTACACATATAAAAGGTCTTATTGACTATTAATCCAACCTCACCACCATTGTATGCCCATAATGTAAAAATTAAGTACAATGTAAAATTGAATAATATCAAATATATTTTAATAATAATAATTTTAAACAAGTATGAAGACAAAATTATAGTATAATTTTTTAAGAAAAAAGGTCAACAAGCCAAATTATACTTAAAGAAGATAGCAAGGCTATTATATTATAAAAGATTTGATATAATAGTATAATAATATTTTTTGTCTAACTTAATCTATAATTAATGTATACTTGACGATTTCTTGAAGATACCTCATTTTTAGGATGGAAAAGTCTTATTTTATAATTAATTTTTTAAAGAATATTAATGCTAATTACAAAAAAAAATATATATTTAATTCAAGTTTAATAAAAAAATCACTAAAATTATTACTATTTAAGAAAATAAAAAATAAAATTTAAAATTAAAATTATATAAATCTCTCAATTTTGTGTATAAAGGGTAAAAAAATAAATAACAATTGAATAGTAAAAATTAATTTTAGTACATTTGAATAGAATAAGTTTGTCCACTATTGGTTATATCTTCTCTTACTGGACAAATAGGCTAAATCAAACTCAAATTATTTTTCTTTTTGATTTAATACTTTAAGTTTATAAATTATTCAAAGATTGATGCTCATTATTTCAATATTGTATTATCTCTTGATTTACTATTTATTTATTTTAATTTTATTTTAGTATTTGTAATAATCTATAAATATAAGATATCATGTATAACATTTATTAGGATAGGTTGTGTTAGCATCATCTATCCTCAAAAATATTTCTATCTTTGATACAATTATATTTGTACAAAAAATCTTAATTTTTATATAATTTGTATAAATGTATGATAAAAAATAATTATATTTATGATAGGACTTAAGGTAATCAAAGAAATAGAGCAAAAGTTTGCAACAATACTAACAATTCTTAATCAAGTATAGTAGGAAGATGAAGACTTATAATACAACTAAGAATTGTTGACAAGGCGATATTGTGTTATATGAAAATCAGCTCGGAAATGCACTAGGCATTTGGTTGTGCCTTGAAGTTAGATTTACAACATAAAAATAATGCACAAAGTGTTTAAAACATCGTTTTAACAAACTTGAACAACCTAAGTAAGCTTCTAATTTAGTTAAAAACACCTTATCAACTCTAAGAGAATCCTAGAATTATTTAATTAAATTCTAATCAATTCTAAATAAAAAATAATAATTAAATACCAATGAAATTCTAACTAACCAAAAAAAATACTAACCAATCAAAAGAAATCTTAAAGAAATTCTAAATAAATTATGAAAAAATTATGAAACAATTCTAAAGATATTCCAAGGAAATCATAAATAAATCATAAATAAATCTTATAAAAATCCTTAAAAAAACCTAAAGAAATCCTGACTAAAGAATAGCCAACACTAAATAAATTTTGAATAAATTATAATTATATTCTAATTAAATCCTAACCAATCACTAAATAAATCTTAATGAAATTCTAAAGATATTATAAGTTAATTTTTAATAAATTCTTAATATATTTCTAATAAATTTCTAATAAATTCCTAATCAAATTTTGTCTAATAGCTATGCTATAATACAACAACAAAATAGGCACAATTTGATAAAAGTTAGGTAAGAGTAATAAACTCAATGTCATGGTTTGTAATGCAACCTATGAATAAATACACATTACATTATAATAATGAGATGTTAGCCAATAAGAAGATGGAGGTAACTAAGATTATAATTGTCAGAGATGAAAAAATAAGAAGATAAACGCATATTAGATCATGATTGGAAAAAAGATAAGATGAGAAGATGAAGTTATGTTAAAGAAATAAAAAAGATAAAGCAAATGGAAGAAGTAAAAATTAAGGTTTTAAAATAAGCAAGAAAAGAAAAGTAGACATTGTTCGCACAACTTTTGTCCACTAAACTTAGTTTACAATTTCAATCTTTCAAAATTAGTCCAAAAAGGTTCATTAAGACCCAAGACTTTATCAGAAATGTGGAGTTGATATGAAGGTTGTTTTTAGGCCCACAAATATAAATAAGGATTACATCCAACAACCAAGTTTATATAATATTACCAAACTTGAATAATAACATTTAAAAGAGGAGAAAAAATCATCTTAACATTCAACACTCAAAATTTTAAAAAAATATAGAAGTACCACAGTCTACTTTTTTATTTTTTTTATTTTTTGTAAATGCATACAAAAAGATAAGAAATAACTTTGTGTTATGGAGGCACAGCTAACTGAAGTAAGTGTTATCAGAGCATTGCTATTTGCACATGTCACATATTTCCGTGCTCAATTATCTCTTTATTTACATAGTGCTTCGAAGCAAATTCAAATAACTCTGACTGGATAAATGAAAAGAAACCGATAGCATATGGTCTTGGAAAAAGATTGTCTGCTGCTATTGTGTACATAAGCACCACTTCTACCACACTGCAAAATGCAACACCTAATCACAATCAACTTAGGTTCCATGATTTGATCAATGACCCAATATTGCATTTCTAACCCAAACAAATGCGTTGAGAGTAAGCTACAATAGATTAAAAATTACAGTTTTGACTTCTATACTAAAATAAAAGCCACCACAACAAATTTATATTATCACTTTTGTACAATTTCGACAGATCGACTAAGTTTCCAAGGAGCAGAAAAAAAGAGAAAAAAGAAATCGACATGACAACTTCACAGGCCACATGAACCAGGCCTTGTAATGAATGCATGCATTCTTTCAAATTCCACCTAATCTGACAGCGTATACAAATCGGTCCTAAAAAGTGAATGTCACTTGTGACACCCTTCTTCACAGTACAGGAGGGGAAGGGGGGATATGATCGCCCACGTCCATAGGATGGCATCTTGCTAAATGTAAACGTTTCGAACATCACTTTGACCAAATGGAATCCCGCAAGCAGGACACTTGCGATGCCTGAGCTCCAAGTTCCTCTGGATACAGTGGCCGCAAAACAAATGAAAGCATTTTGTGATGACAACCTGCAGAATGAAAAAGATTCATGGGAAATTGTGAAAACCTGGAAATAAAAAGTTATGAAAAATGTAAATGTTCAGAATTTAAAATTCGACAAGTTCCTTGTCCTGGCGCACAGTAGGAGCATGCTTACCTCTTTTGGATGATCATGGCAGACACCACATTTTAGAATGGCCTTATATTCTTTTATCTCCTCCTGAAGCCGTTCTATTGCAGAGCCTCCCTCATGATGTGATCGCAGCCGTGCCACCTTATTATTCAACGCCTCCAGCTCATCCTGAACCCTTCGTTTCTCAAATCTGAACATGAATTTAAGTTGTCAACAGAGACTAAAGAACAGGTCATGGACAATAATTTTGTAAAAAGTAAAGCCTACGCACTATTGCAACCACGCCATAATTCCCGCTAGAAATATTTCTGGCGTCAGCTACGTGCTTACAAACAATATTCAAAGATAACTTGACAATTAAAAAACTCCCAACAGAAAGAAATAAAAGCTGGACTCACCTTTCTTTATCGAGCTGCTGTTGAGCCTCAACAAGTTTCTGACCACGACCTTCAATTCTTCTATTTGCGGCTTCCAGTGCTGCTTTTGTTGACACGAGCTGTTTCTCAATTTCGACCGTCTTGTGCTTCAAAGCTTCCAAGGCTAATATGTGTTGTCTACTATCATCCATTACCTTGCCTGTTTGCTCCAAGTAAGATCTGATCTGCACAAAGATATCCACGTCCATCATGTTGACAATCACCAAATATTACGTAACATAGCGACACGATGGTCATAACAGCTAAGGGTCACAGCAGATCAACACAAGCAAAATGAAAAATCATGCAAATTGGAACTTTAAGCGAAAGATCTAGAAAGCTGCTAGAAGTTCAAAGACAACCACAAAAAATCCTCAAAGACCTTAGCACTATCGATCACATCAACATGTACCAACACGCTAAGCTTTAAATTTCTTTAAGTAACACACGTGAATTTCGTAAATCCTACTTTCCCAAAAGGAAACTCAGCAGTAAAGATAATCATAACATAAACCATGAGATATTTTACCTGATCTTCTAATCGATTTACATGCTGCTTAAGGGGGTCAGCACTAGCAATTGCATGTTGCACACGACTAGCCAGAACTTTCTTCTCTGCTTCAAGGAAAGATTGTAGCTGTTTAGCCTTCTGGCTCTCTGCCACCAGCTAAGATTCATATACAACAAAAATACAAGCTCAGATGTTGTTCACCCAACTACAAGTTAAAGCAGTTATAATGCAATTGCTGAAACTCTAATGCATCCAACCTAGGTCCTCTCATGCTCCTTTCTTTAACCGTCAAATTAATTGATTTCCCATAATTCTTCTATATGAAATAGTGAACAACATCTCACGCTGCTACGAGCTCACACCAAATATTCTGTTTGAAATCCGGATTATTCAACACACAGAAATCGCATGTCATATACTTTTACATCTGATAATGGTCTAGATACGTAAGCCATCTGACACTGATTTCCTCAAGCCAAAATCTGAAATAGTCACCAAATACCTGAGTGTTGTAATCATCACGTTCAGTGATTTGATGGAGTAGCCGAGAGTTTTGTGTCAGCATCTCATCATATGCTTGGCCAAATGTCTGCTTAATCAAATAGTGTACAACATTTGAAATCAGTTCCAACTCCATCCAACTAAGTTTAGATCATTCTAATGACATGTTTGGAGAGGAACAAGAAAAAAAGAAAAACAGTTAGAATCGAACCTCTATTACAATGACATAGGCGTCACCTTCTTCATCCTTAGATTTCAACGTCTCCTTAAGTTCCATGACAACCCTGCACAAATGAACATATCCGCAAAAATGAATATGCGCACTTACGCAACCAATGGGTACCTCCATATGGAAGCATGTATAAAATTGACAAAACACTTCCTTGAATAACAAAGAATTCAAGCAAATCAACACACTGCAACAAATGTTTCGAGAAAAATAGATGATTACAGAATGTGATTTCAGTTGACCCCACTAGAAACAAAATTGACCATATCAAGATACCTTATTCTTCAACACCGCCCTCATAGAAAGTACATCACAGTTGGATTATGTATCAACATAGATAATAAGAAAAGGCTGAAATAAAACCTTTCTGAGTCGTCCAGCCTCAGATGGTACTCAGCAATCTCAGCCTCCGCAGCTGCTAGTCTTTGCTGGTAAAGAGTCTCGGCTTCATTGGCAGCTTTCACCCGGAGCTCTAAGCTATGCTCATCAAGTGCTCTCTTCAAACGCTCGATTTGCGCTAGTGTTTTACTATGATCTTGCTGCAACTTCAGGATGGTTCTGCACATCCACCCTCAAAAATTAATCTCATGCCACAAAAACTCGTGCATTCTTAAAACACATATCTGAAGATACCTCATTACAGTGAGAACATAAGGATGGGGTCAACAAGGTTAGGATGTATCCACTGTCACTGCAGCTCTGAGGAAAAAATCATTTAACACACCTTGGATCCTTCGACTCTTTCTCATACATCTCCAACATAAGCTGCAGCCCTTGATCACTTTGTCGCAAGCCTTCCAACTGAGTAGAAACGAGCAGTTTAGAGACACAAATGGGGGTAGTTCGTACTTTCATCTTCCAAATCCAATGAAGTGCTATTTTTGTTGCACAAAACAATCATGCAAGATCCTGCGACGACGACGCCAACAGCGCATATCTATCTACACAAGCCCTACGAGGCATTACGTAACAATGTACTAACATTGTTATAGAGTGTAAAACCCAATCCCTAGTATACCTTCGCTTTCAATGATGTCAACTCAGCAGCTTGGGCGACACATCGATTTGAAAGATTTTTGCATTCCAATGCCTGCAAAACAAAACATCAACACGTCGCATAAGCCACAGAGGGCAAGGTTGCGAATAGGGATCAAACTCTTTGAAAAACATATTGATTCCTTGAAAAAAGACTCTTAAAATGCTGGGCGTGAGTTGCAGGAAGAGGAAAAAGGACTGATCCACTTCTGTAAATGTTGACACTATGTTTCAGAATCTGATGAAATCTGAAGGTAAAATTCTACTGTATACACTTCAGATGTTGAAATTTGTACGTGCCTTTCTTTCAAGGATTTCGCGAAGGGAGGGCATCTTTGCTTCAAGTAACTCAACTTCGCAAGCTGCATCCTTGGGTTTTCTCAGTTGTGCCTTCGTCATGCTCATCTCTTTTTCAAGTGTGTACTTCATCACCTGCAATTCAGGTACTGAATCCTTCCTTCCTACAGAAATTTTAAGAGACGAGTTAATAACAGCGGGTCATATGACCTACATGATTTCACCAAATCTAATCCCATATAACACCATAATAGCAACCTGAGACGTAACCTATAAACCTAGTAGTTGATGGAAGAAAATATCAATTACTGTACCTGCAGATTGAAGGGCATCCTCTAATCTGAGTTGCAATGCGTCTCGATCAGCCATGCACTCTTGAAGTTTGGTTTCTAGCTCTGCAGCTCTATCATCAGAAATAGCACCTGTCCGATGGGCTGCTTCACCAGCCTCAGCCTTCAATAGGATCTCCTTATCTCTTCGAGACATTGAATCACATTCAGTCTGTGACAATTGGAACAGGCTTTAATCCTCGCATTAAATAAAATAGCTGTATTAATTATGTTAAATGCAGTAAGATGCTTCTAACCGTTACCAGTGAAAGGATAATTACAGATAACTACATGTAGAAACATGCCTGGAGCTTGTCCACTAGGCCTCGATATCTTTCGACTTCATTCTTTAGAAACTGAGCTTGATCGTCGAGTACTAGATATGGACGAGATGACAAGATTCTCTGTTCATCAAGTAGGGCATCCTGTCGTGATCATGGACAAATGCGACAAAAAGGAGTTAATCACCAGGGAGGAGACAATAGTAAAATTTGAGAGCGAAGCACAAGTTGGAGGCCAGTGGCAATATGAAAATAAAAACTTATTCCTGCTTTGAACACTCCGCCATAGTGTGAAGTAGGACATAAAGATCAAAAGGAAATATGATTAACCTGCATTTGCTGCATTCGCTGGGAGAGGTTCAACTGGGTTTGCAGTGTTTCTTGGAGCTCAGTAAGTCGTTTCGACGCCAATGTCTGAAAACATAACATATTACCAAGCTCTTCATTGAAAAGATTGAACTTTCCTGTTTCTTCAACTATTCACACTATAACGCCTAGAACCCCACAAATTGAAAAATATTCCGACTCTGTAAGGGGAACTGAGGGAACAAGATAAATATGCAAACTTGAGTACTTATTGAAGTTTCTAAATAGAAAAAAGTAAGCGTATCATGCAAATATTAGACTGCAGAGATATTACATAAATATGCATTCTATACTAAAGTAGACAAATATAGAATGCGAATAAGATGTTACTAGAAAATTCAAGTACAAGCTGCACCTTCATTTCTTCTAATGCAGCTTCCAGTTCACGAGCTTCTCTTGAAAGCTTCTCAGCGCCTGAAACTCGATCCCCACCCTCAATCTTAGCACTCAGTTGAACAGAAGCTATTGTAGGCATACCAACAGCTGCAGCTTCCTTCTGACTTTTGAGTGTTGCTAGCTTCCGTCTACACAATTCCAGCTCACTAGCAGTCTCCTCTAGCTCACCTGCACAAATGTTCATAGAAGTCACGCATGATTCAACTCAAGCTAAAGGGATTTTTAAAAAGCTCAAAAACCATGCTTATTGCAATATAAACTAGTTAATAAACCGATAGTTGAAGTGTTAAACTTCTGCAGTCACACACAAACTTCAAACAAATATGTAAAAAGCTTTCAGGGAAAAAAATAGTGAAGTATAGTCATAACTTCAACTAACATTTTGAGAAAAACTTGCAGAAGTTCGACAACTTAAACACTTCAACTATAGTACAGATTGCTACACTATGGTCAAGGGAAGTTGATCACCAATAATGTTACTAAAAAAATGTACTATTCTAACTGCCATAACTGCATGCACAAGTTCCGAAATTTACACTTGCTCGCGGTCAAGCGAAATTTAATGGGACCATAAATGAATGAGCAAATCAATAGACTGATTAAATAGTTAATTGATAGCTGAATATCCAATTCCACATAGCACAACTGAAGACCCACTAACCCGATAGACACTTGATCTTGGATTGATCCTTTGTTTTAAGGTCGCGAGCAGTTCCAATTTCAGCTAACATTTCATTGTGTTTCAGATGCAACGCTTCCAAGACCCCTCGAATCGTAGTTATTTCTGTACGTAAATCCTCATTTTTTTCCTCCAGCAATTGTCCAGCATCTGTTGCAACATCATCAAAGTGTGTTCAACCTGAGGTGCTCCTGAAAATGTATTTCTATCATAGTAATACTAATGATCATGTTAAGGGTTTTGCAAGCAGGAAATAACTGCAAGCAATGTAAAGCTATAAAAGGTTGCAAATGCTCCAATAGCTCCCTACAGCAAAGCTCGATGACTACATGAGCAGCTCAGAGTCAGTGCGACGGAACACATCATCGTATGTGCAAGTACTGTACGTCTGTGCAATGGAGAGACCCGGCACGCCAGTCATCTTAATAAATAGATAGGAACTTACCATGAGGATGAACAATATCTCGCAATGACGTTTCAAGTTTATCATTCTTCGCTCGTTGAAGGTCAATAGCTTGAAGCAGATACTTCATCGTCTTCATCGTCTTAGCCTTTCTAGAAACCAGCCCAGCCTCTACTACTGACCCATTGCTACTTTCTTCATTGTTGCTACTTTCAGTAGCTCCCGTTTCCAAGAGCCTCTGCAGAAATGTCTCTTCAGGCGGAGCAGCTGAAATTTTCCTCTCTGTGAAGACAAAGGCCGCATAAAACTAAGAAAATTGCTAGAGCTTCGGACTGGCTTTGACTAAACATATGCAGTTGGACTAGGGTGATCGACGTTTGTATTTGATGTCTAGACTGTAACCCAGTAAAAAATCATAAGAGAGCATAGGAAACGGCATAAGGAAGAAGGATAGTAGACAGACAATTACTTTTCAAGGACAGCTTTGGTAGTAATATAAATCGACTAACCTTTGAATTTCAAACAACACCAACCTAGCATGTTCTAACGAGTGCCACAGTTAAATTTGTCTTCAGCACTGCAATTATGAGGAAAAATAATCATGAATAATGCTTATCTCTCATACATAATGTCGAATTTTTCATTGAATTAAGAGATGAGTCTTACCATTGGCTACCGACAAGGGCTCCAGCACTTCTAGACCACTCGTGGGGGTATTTGCGCGCACTGCAAGGAACTCCAAATCGTCCACTAGCTGTAGGCCACTTCGCATTTGTTCAGTACAACTGAATATCAAGCGTAAGAATTGATTCTAAATAGATAAAACCTTAAAATACGATTCTTCTTACAGCATATCGCTAATTTTAGGCACCAATGCATTTAACTATTTCTAGAACACAACGAAGTAACAATGCAAACGATCAAGCTACCGAATGCACTATTATTCACATCTGCATTTGCTGAAAACGATTTGCAACAGTACTAACCAGATTCCATTTGCGATTCACTGCGATGAGTGTGTTATCATAAGAGGCTTGCTTGCTCTTGAACTCAGCACATCTACTCTCTAGAGTACTGATCTCTGAACGCTGATGGTCCAGTAGCTGAGCCAACTTTTGATTCTGGTACTGGGGCGTCACTGGTTCCACCTGCAAGAAGTTTCACCCTGTAAATAACCTTCCTTCAAAGACAAATGAAGTAAACGGAGGGAATCTAAGGTGATCTGATAGTGAATCGTCATTGCTGGTAACTTTTTCTCCAAGTATCAAACCATATGATTTCTCAAGCTAGTGTACACGGATTGATGCGGCATGACCCAGCAATTACTCGGGTTCTCCTGTATTAGAAACAATTTTTAGGGCTCACGCGAGTTAAACAGAATGAAGTCAAACATAGCACTCTAATTCGAGCCTGACGAAGAGCCTAACATATTGAACACGCCCAGTGTCGAGACCACGATCATTGTTAAAATTTCCTGAGCAAGACAATGTACACGATAATCCTCTCCAGCACAATCGTACCTCATCCCATTCAAAACTAATCCCACAAATTTCAAAAATTGCAAAACTAGGTTTCTTCCCAAAAACTATATACGTGCCTAAATGCTACTTGCTTATGATGAGATTAAGTTAAACACTTAAATTCGTTGTCGTAGCATCGGAATACAAAAAATAGGTCATTCATGTACTCCAGACGATCCTTGAGGCGTAGAAATTAAAAATATTTCTTCAAACCCTACTGCACAATTTAGACTGACAACTAACCTGCATCGCCGTTGCTTCTTGCTCAATTAGAAATAAAAATGCGAGGAATTACCACAGGAGCATGCCCATACATAACGCATGCAGATGTTTTTAACATGTAAAGACGATTATTTTCTTGACCGAACAATATCGCAATAAACCCTTACATGAATACCATATTGAAAAGAAGGAAGCCATACCTTCTTATCGTCCGAGGCGGAAGTAATAGCCGGCTTCTTAAGGGGCGGGGACGCAGACAGGGGATGGTGGAGATTATTGTGGCGCCGCTTGCGTTCAGGCTCCTCTGTACTTCCCATGATGCCCCGGCCCAGGCCTTGGGGCACATCATCAGACGCAATCTACTTCAAATGCACCTGCACGGTCTGAGCTACCTCCAGCTCGAGTAGCTCGACTGCCTCACTGCGATGAAAATACCGACAGGGCCAATCCTAGAGCTACAGAGACTATACAGAGGACAATAATAATGGTAACGATAACACCAACAATAATTTTACTTTCAAAATTGAATATTGTTTAAATTATTATCAAAACAAACCACGCCTCGCCCAAACACTTAGACGCAACAAGCTGTGCCTCACACGCTTATGTAAATACGCTCGAATTCGCTCAAAACACGATCATTCCTCTCATGAGAAAACACAGATAAAGCGCAAGCCCCCTACAAATCGCATGATTTTCAACCCTAATCCCCATCCCTCCAAAGGGTCTCTCCCCCAACCCTAATCTCGTCTCAAAACCATTACAGAGAACATCAAAAAAATTCCACGCATACTTGAAATGAAAACCGCACACTCAATCTCTCCACTCCTCCACGACCGCACCTCTCAAATGACTCCCGAAACCCCTTGGCCTTGCGAAACCTAAGAGAAAATGTACTACGCCAAAAAAGTGGATATAAAAATACAAAAAACAAAAACAAAAACAACAACAAAGTCGTCTCGCACAATGTAATCAGGCAGACGATCACTAAGAAACAGGATTTCAGAGGAGGAGGAGAAGAGACGAGGAGTATAGCAGGAGTCAGGGGCCACGGAATTAGAAGGGAGGGGGGAAGAGGAGAGGAGGGTGGGGGAAGGGCGAAACAACAGCAACAGCAACGGAGGGAGGGAGGGAGGAGAGCCAGGAATGAAGGAAGGGGAGGAAGACAAGAGGGAGGGGCAGGGGAGGGGAGAGGAGAGAATGCTCACAACGGCTGTGGCGCCCCTGTGCTCGGAACTCAGGGGCAACCTTTTCTTTAAAAGTAAAGTAAAAAGTCGCCCCAAGAAGGATTCCATTCCTTTCACTCCGGAAATCATTCATCCCATTGTCGGCATTTCGCCACCACAGCTCTCTTTTTGGTGCCTCGGTTTTCTTTCTTTTTCTTTTCATGTGTTTCTTTTCTTTCAAAAAAAGGAAAAAAACATGGCAAGGGAACTTTTTTTTTTTTTTTGCAAGATACCGTTAAGATTTTTTGAGATTTTGTAGCTGAGATTTAATTTTCCAACTTTTGTGGTATTAGATCAATTGTGATACTGAGATTTAGAATCCTTAACCTTGACTTTAGCACTTCCAAACTAAATGCTTCCAAGCTCTAGTGTTAACCTTTCACTTTGTTTTTCATACTTCTGCACATCTATATACCATTACATATTATTTATTTCAAATAAAATATCTTTATTATAATAATAATAATAATAATAATAATAAAGAGATAATAAGTTAAATAATTTATCATTGTTTTATATCAAAAAAATACACACTTACAAATAAATAAAAAGAGAGACACCAAACAATGAATTTGAGAAGAAGGTAAGTGTCTTTGTGTGGCATTATATCTTCTTCTTTTTTCATCTATATAAAAATACTATCAACATTTTTTCTTCTTTTATTTTATTATTTTTTTCTTTAAAAAAAGGAAACATGAAAAAAATTAAGTCTAGAACTTATGTTTCATGTTATTTTAGAGTATAGAGAGACATGAGAAACTCTATGTGGACTAATTTTGTAAAAATGTAATTTTTTAAAAAATATTTTAAGATAGTAAATCATGCATAGGTTTAATAATTTGCTTTAAAATATAATTTATAAGATGTATTTTTATCAAATCCAAATTTTATAAAATTAATAAAATAATTAATTAAAAAATAATTTAATATAATTTATTTCTTTTAAATGAACATACAAGTTTGATACTTTGATAGATAAATGTTACTCTTGGATTATTGTATGAAAATTACCTATATTATTCAAATAAATAGGAGAAATTAGAATTAAATAGAAGTAAGTAAAATATATTACATAGATATTATCTTCTTTAGAAAATTATAAAGATTGTTTTTAGGCATAAAATAGATCTTAATATATGCCATGTGGTTATTTAAACTTTTGCCATTTTATCTTATTTTACAAATCTTATTTGAACCAATGTATTACTTGACATCTAGGCCATAAGTCTTGTGGTCTTTCAAAAGCTTCTACAAGACCTTCTTAATAGCTAATATATATGTAGACAAGAGTGAAGTCATCTTCATTCTTATCAATATCTTTTTTGTATTCTAAACTTAGTTCAATACTCTCTAGTTTCTTTTTATCTACTAATATGCATTGTAGTTCTTTTCTATATTATGTCTATATCATTTCTTTTTACTCCCTACTCTTTTAAATAGTATATGAGTAGATTATTTTTTAAATTTAGTATAAATAAAAATATAGAAACTTATGTTGTTTTATTATAATCAAACTTAAGTTTTGCAATATTATATTTTCTTAAACTATGTACTAAATTTATTAAATTTCTTAATGATTATCTATAGAATTATGTAACTACTTATTTGCATAGAAAAATATACCATACTTTAGAAACATTGTCCTTATTTTCTCTTAAAAACTTTATAGAACTAATTCTAAATAGTATACAAATCTATTTTGTAATATTTTATATTAAATAGATAAAATAAAAGTCTAAATTTTAATAAATATATTTTTAATTTAAATTTAGTATTAACTAAAAATATATAATAAAAGATATTTTATCAAAAAATATTTTATTATTTGATTATCATTCATTAATTATAATTTAAAATAAAAATAAAAAATTAGTAAATTAAATAAATAATTTCTTAAATCAATCCATCTATATTAGAAACAAAAATCATAAATAATCAAAATATCAATACATTCTTATATTATTAAAAAATAATTAATAATTATTCAAAGATAGCATAATATTAAAACTAGAATGATTATTATTAAGAACAAAACGACCAAAGATTCTTGAAATAAGACTAAGAAAAAAAAGACATTGATAATAGTGAAAAAAGCTTCACTTTTGTGTCTATATATACTATTTAATTAAGAACTAGACAGTAACATTCTATAGAATCTCAAATTTAAGTCCAACTTAGAAAACACATTATTGTATTGTAGTTTGGCTACCATGTGAAAATAATTTATATATATATATATATATATATATATATATGTATATATATCTAATATATATAACTAATATATAATTTATTATATAATACAATGAAAGCCATATTATTAAATTTTAGTTGGTTACAAAATCTAATTAGATTACTACTTTAAAGTAGTTAGTTGTCTATTGTCATTCTTTTAGATATAATACATGCATAGAGGAAGCAATGAAGAATCCGCAACTGGAATTCTTTGCTACACGTTTTATATACTACTTGATGAACTCTAAAATGGAATGAAGGAAATATAAGAAGTTAAAGTCAGTACTTGCAATCTAAGGGCAATAGTCACCTGATTTACTAGTGGTTGTGTTTTGAGCTATAACTTGAATAATTTGCTAAGATTTTAGCTCAAATTTTTTAATAATGTGTATTATTATGTTAAAAAACTTTATATGTACTTGCTAGGATTTTTAAGATGCCAAACGATCTAAAGTAGATTTATGATTCATTTTTTTTTGTGGTAAAGCTTAAAGTTAAAGTTTACATTATCTAGAAATTTTAAAAAAATTGAATAATTAGATTAATAAATATGAATTTCTAAATTTTGAAAAAAAAAGAAAAAAAGAAAAGAAAAAAAAAGAAATCCTTTGTGGGAGAAAAATATTTTGAAAGGGTTTTGCTATAATTTGGGCATTTTATACAAAGTAAAGGGGATTTTGGAAGCTAAGACTTCATTTAAATATTAAAAATGGAGATATGGAGCTATGAAAAAATTATGATATAAAGATGGATTTTTGAAAGGAAATCATGGATTTTATTTGAACTTATTAAAAATCAAGCTTGCTAGCAAATAATTTAGTTATGACTTGGTATAGCAAAGGATGTTAGGGCATTTCTAGATGCTTTAGAAATCCTTGTGTATAAAACTTCTTAAATATAAAAGGTTTTTAGTAGTAGAATATCTTTTGATAGTATTATATTTATTTGGCCTTTATAATAAGAATACATTACTTATTAGAACTTGTCCAATAAATTAAAGTTAAATTCTCTATAGTTAAGTACTTAATATATTTTTAAATAAAATATCATGCCATAAAAAAATATATCTAATTTGTAAAATAATTTTTGTATATGTATGCTACATAAACAACTTATTAGTCATTTTTTTAATCTATCAATCATATATAGATATGTAAAAAGCCAAACTTGTATCTATATAGATTCTAAAAATCTTTTGCATATAATTTCATAAAATTAATCTGTTTTTACTTATTTTTATTTATTTCAATCTTTATAATTATTAATTATGTCTACGATATTATTTTTTCCTCCCTCTTTTTGTTTTTGTTTTTTTTTTGTTTTTTGAGATATATTTTCAAAGAAGTGGTGATCACATGTTGAAAAAATATAAAATGTAAAAAATTACAATTGTAACATACTTTGATCTTTATTTCTTTTAAAGTTGATTTATAGGTTTTCTCAGCCATTAAAAGTATTTCATACTAGAATGGAAAGACAACCCTGTTATTTGATCATTGTTGAGACCTTCATAACTTCTTTCTGATAAAACATTTAAAACACTATATAAATTGATTCTTATCTCCAATAATAATATCCGATACTAGAATTATCCTCTGAAGTTGTGATATCAAATTTATTATATTTTACCATTTATTTGAAGAAGAATATGTGGTTTTTGATGGTTTATGATTTTTATAATGTTATCTTCAAGGTTGTAATAATTTGAATGCTTTGTTTGATAACTCAACATATAATAGCTCTTCAATGGAATCTATTGCTTATTAATTTTTTATCTTTTTAATATTACATATATAAAAAAAATATATATATATATATATATATATATATAATCTTTATTATGCCTTATTTGTATTATACCAAATATTTTTTTGATTCTTAATCTTAATTTTGATGGATGTTGTTGATAAAAAAATATCAACCTTTTTTATTTTATTTTTAAGATTAATGGATGGCTCTTTTATGTATTCACTATTATTATATCTACTCAATTCTACAAGATATTCTAACCTATTTTTGCATTGCCTTGAGTCCAAAACTTCTTCTATTTCAAACTTTTAATTATTGTCCACTTTTGTAGAAGAAGATTTTTTAGTATATCTATTATCTTATATTATTCAATAAAAGATATATGAAATATGGAATGGATCTTCATAAACTCTAATATATATAATCAATATACAACTAGATTGATTTTTTTACAAATAGAAAATGATCCAAATCTATAGTAATCTAATTTTTGTTATAGACAATTAATTATAATATTACAACAAAGTAACTATATGTGATAGATATCTATATTTATCTTTTATTATTCTTAAATTTATTTTTATTGTGCCTTTATTGATACATTGAGCTCTTATAAACAATTTATCAAATCTTCTACTATTGAATTATCAATCTTTGTAAAGTTAAAAATATCAATTTATAGATGATAATCGTAATTAATATAAAAAAGTGTCTATTGAATAAAAGAATATATTATGTTATTATAGAAAAATTCTACCAATAATAAAAAATTATCTCATTATCTTGATGGTGGTTGATAGAATATTTCAAATATTCCTTAAGAAAATTTTCTTAAGGAAAGTTGAATCAACAATTATTGCTAATTTAATTGATTAAAAATAAAATTTCTTTAGCTTCAAAAAAATCATTTTTTGTTGATCAAAAGCTTCATCTTTTTATTTTG